ATATCCAAACAAAATATAAAATCTTTAGTTTGATTAAATCGTTTTTCGTTCAACAAGGAAACATGAATCAATTGAAACAAACACCTTCAAAAAGTTGATTGAAAACAACAAAAAAAATTGATTAAAAACAGGCACTATGATTTTACGGAATGTATAATATATTGCGGAAAAATCTCCAGAAGAATGTTTTACAAAAATATAGTTCCATAATTGGTTTATATAGTCTGAAAAGTTCTGGCCTATAAGGAAATTAGGAAGGACTTTTTCAGACTCTTCATGTTTGCAATTTTATCTGAAATGGCAATTTTTAACTGAAAAACATTGTACCTTTCTTGAAATTCTTTTTTCAACAAAAAGATTCAAGAAAAACATTACCAGCGTCCCATGATTTTCGTTCTCTGATTTTAACCAACTGGAAATTTCTAGAATAACTATGTTTGGTTTGTTCGATAATTCAAAAACAGCTTTGTGAATATTTTGACCGTATATTAATGATACTGGAACGCTTGAAAACGTTAGTATACTCTTTTCTGTCCAGTCTGAATTTGGAGAACAGTGTACTCGTTCCATTGGTTTCTGGTACCGTTGCTGACTTCATAACTTTGCCTACACCCAATAATAATTATCTTGAGATATCGACCTTAAAAATCCTATTCTTCCCAGAAATTGCAAACCAAAAATCCATTTTCACCCCTTCCCTATAAATCTTGTGTAGTGATCATTTGTGATTTCCCACTTCCTTAGCCGTATGACTACAATCCAAAATTTTCCCAGCCGAGAATTACATATTTCCAACCACAATAATTGTTTTTGAAGAACGACAATCATTTTCATCAGAAGACTATAGTTAAGCCAAAATGTGAGCGACACTAGGATACAATTTTTACAAAAAGAAACGAGCCAGAAAATAGAATAAAAGAGACAGATTCCATAAAGAGATAATTCATCTGCCAACCTAGATGACTTTGTCTAGATGCCGACAATTAGGGTACAGCCATAAATTTATGATCTTTCATTGAGTCGTAAATTATTTGTCGGACTGTGATAAATGGAATGGCAGATGTTCAGTAGCTGCAAACGGTTTTATGGAAAATATGCAGATAGGGTTACTGGGTATTATAGATTGACAATTTTCAGAAAAATTGGATGTCATCATCCCATCACAAAAGCACAAAACGTTTCTGAAGAATTAGACAGATTTCGCAAGTAGTTCCGCTTGTGAGTCGCATAAATTTTTGCGTACGCTTTTGACATACGGTAGTTCTAAACGCTTTGATTCTAAAAAATCGGAATTTCATTCCTTGAATGTTTGCAATTTTCTTAATTTTACATATTTTAAATTCCGTTCCAGACATCCCTGATATTAAACTATTTTTTAAAAATGAGTTTTTTAATACTGAGACCATAGTCGTCCGTGGAAAATTCTGAACCTGAAAATCCGAAATTCTCCTCTGATTTTGTAAATCCATATTTTCTCAGCATTCCAAGTTTTCAGTTCTCTGATTTTTACTCACTGAAGTTTCCATGAATCATAATTTTTTTTTCCTTCAAAAATTTGAAACAGCCTTTCAAACCGTAGTTTCATATATTACTGATATTGGAACATTGGTGAATGTTGTATACATAATTCCATTCAAGCTGAAATTGACAATGTCTTGTAGTTGTTAAATTTTGTTCACATAATTTACGGAATTTAGAAAGATCTTTCCTATTCTGAATTCAATTTTTTGCCAACGCACGGAACCTACCGTTTTCGACGTCAATCCATCTGAAATTGTGTTGAGAAATTCTCAAAAGCTGAAAGGGACAGAAGAATTTTTAACTACTTTCTAGGCGATTATGCATTCTGTAGCAACGGTGTGCAATATGAACGAAATTTGGAGAAAATCACTTTTAATGTTCCTTCACGTTCAAAACAACCTGAACTGTCCAATCGAGCTTTTTTGAAAAAAATTTTTTAGTCGTTCATCAACCACTGTTGTTCGCTGATATTTCTCGATCTGAAAACCTAAATTTTCCCAAGTGATTTCATCAATCAATGTTTCTCCCAGGGTCCCAAGATTTCTGTTCTCTGATGTTTACCCACCGACAATTCCGAGAATCACAAAGTCTAGTTTGTTCAGAATTTCAGAAAAAGGTTTGGGAATATTTTGACCGTGTGTCCATAATTCCAATTGTTTTTTTCCATCAACCCGTGTGAAACGGAATCTGTTTTTGACTTCAATCCATCATCTTGGGGTTTTTTTTTGGAAAATTCTCATAATCCGTAAGGCAGAGGAAATTTTTTTTTCAGAGACCATCATCAGCCACAGTAGTCTGTAAATTTTACTAGATCTGAAAACTCAAAATTTCTCGTGTGATTTCTGTAACATGTGTTTACCCAGGGTTCCAAGTTTTCAGTTCTCTGATTTTGCCCACTGGAAATTCCAAGAATCACAAAGTTAGGTTCCCTCGAAAATTATAAAAAACTTTCGGAATATTGCCTTTGGAATACATATTCTTTTGACCGTATTTCCATAATTCAGCTTGTTTTTTATTAACCCCCGGAAAACAAATGCATTGACGTCAATTCAGAATCTAGAATTGTTTTGAGAAAATCTGAAACTCGAAAAATCTTGAGAGATCCAGAATCAGAAAACAGGATGAAACTGATGTCACTTCATCAAAACCGGAAGCGGCATATCATCATTTATTTATCACGGATCAGTTATATAGAGGATGCCAAAAATGAAGGATGTTTCAGTTTTAGGAAATTAAAAATTCCACGTCCCACTTGCTATTATGATCTCGATCAAGGTGTAAGGCATCAGAAATTATTTTCTAGAAGTGTTTTGATCCTAGAAATGTTTTTTGAGCAAAATTTAAACAAAAATTGTATGCCGCTATGCAGAAGTTTTTTCGGCAACTTGCGACAAAAACCTGGTCAATATTTGTCCAATAGCCAAACTTCTACGAACTTCTGACCAGCAGTTACAAGCCAACAGCATATTAACCACCTAGGAGGGGTATGATAAGAATTTCGAAATCATTAGATCTTTTAATTTATTCGTTACATCACTTAAAATAATTTCTTATTTTTTTCCTTTTTTTTCAAATTATGAATCATATGTAACTTCACAGGATTACGACTAGTACACAATCAGACAGAATGCGACAATGATCTCGATTTCTGACCATTGTCCATCCCAAGAGATTGAGTACAATTTTTTTTCTTCCTTAGTAAGCAATGACGTCTTTGGGAATATGATTCTTGTTTCTATAGTACCCCCGAAAATGAATTCAAATATATTTTTCCAATATTTTTCATATGTTGTGTTTTGAATGTAGAATTCGAGCCAAAGACCAAGTGTCGGAATTGATTAAAATTCATGAAGCTTCTCGAATAACACTTTTACTACCGAGGGATGAGACATAGAGGGGCTAAAAACAAAATTAACTGGATTACAATGCAGAAGCAAAAAAAATGGAGGGAATCCAGGAAGGATCTAGTGACTCGTCTTTTTTTTGGGTAGCTGGACTTCCTGGTCCATGTGCATTTTCTGAAATTTCAACCTACCCAGCCAAGTTGAGAATGATTTCTTGATAAAACCTAAAAATAGTGATATCAGAGATTAGAGATAACAATTCAAAAACATCAAATTAGAGCGGCTAGACAATGAACCATCATTGCAGTTGTCTGAAAATCCCTTCTGTTTTGTGTTTTGAAATCGCCTGGAGAGTTCTTTGAGTGACTTTTGATAACAAGCTTTGATTTAGAATGCATTTGGTTGAATTACTTCAGAAAAATTATCTGAAAATGGTTAGAGCAGACATTAATCATCTGAAACATAGGTTTTCGTTCATCTTGTTGACCGGTATTCTAGGTTCAATTTTGAGAAATCGTCTTGATCGGATTACTGTAGGAAAATCAATTCCAATTAAAGTCTAGTCTCCGAAAAACGCTTTCCAAGGGTAAAAAAAATCAGCAGTAGTTCACGGCTGTTCTGATTGGTATTTGCTGAATATCTTGTAATATCGAGAATTCCGAGTTTTGAAACTTCGGATTATTCCGACCTTAGAATTCTAGAATTTCGAAATGTCGAAAATTCCAAGTTTCAAAATTTTTGAATAGGGATAGTCGGATATTCGGAATCCCACCGTCCCATCAAAAAAGCGCAAAAAATTGACAATCGAATTTCGAAAACGCAACAAAGGAATCCCGCTGGAGACCCGCAAAGAAACTTTTAGCTAGCGCCTTTGACATATCGTAATCCAAAACGCTCTAACTCAGAAAATAAATTCGGAATTTAGTTTTGAAAAAAAACCTTTGGGAATATTCTCCAAAACGCTCGAATTTTTGTTAATTTTTAAATTCGAGTTTTGTTCCGAACACCTCCGACCACAGTAGTCTAGATTCTATCACCTTGAATATTCTGATTCTTTCGATCCCTTCTTTATTTTCAAAATATCTCTTCTCCACCACAAATCAGAATCACAAAATTCATCTTCGCCCCCTCATATCTCTCCCGATTTCCGGATCTTTCTAAACTTTGTACTTGTTGTTAGCCTCCCCATATCAACTTTCTTCCGGTGCCCCAAAACACACACAAGCACGATGATGATTCATGAATTATATACGCAAACCAAGTTTCCGGAAATCTCCGAATACCTTCAAATTTCTTCATCATCGTCACTTTCTTCTCAGTTTTCAAAATAACGCAAAACGTAAGCCAACTTTTCATGTGCAAGCAGCTCATCTTCAAAAGTCATCTTCTCGCTTACTTTCCGTTCATTAGCACTATACAAGCCGCGCCCTATCTCATTTCAAACTCCGCCAAGGAACCGTCTCCGCCCCTTTTTTGTCTTTTCTTACGACTCTCTTCGTTTTTTCACACAAAAACTTTGATTCTAAGTAAGGGTGTGGAATATCGCTCGCCGTCGCGTCTTCAAATTTACCCGTCATAGATTTCTGCTCAACGTGTCGAGGCTCCGCCCATCGAAGCTTCATTCATTGCACCGACATGTCCTTCCAGCTAACGCTGTTTTCCATGCTTCTCCTACTAATTGCCGTAGTCGTCGGTAAGTACGCTTAAAACTTGTTTAAGTTGAATTGAAGGATTACTGTAGTAGTGTTTCTTGGAATATTTAGACAAAAGAGCCCAGATCATGGCCCTGCAGGCAAACCAAAAACTTTGGATTCTAAGGAAAAGATTCTAAGCATAGCTTCCGCTCTTGAAGATTCTATAGAATTTGCTCCAAATCAGTTTATGCGGGAAATTCTGAAATCTCCTATTTTGCAGGGCAACCAATTCAGTCACCATCCGGTGATTTGAGAGTCCAAGCCGTTCAGGACAACTCGCCGTTGAGTATGGAGGCGTTCAACGACGATCCGGCAGTGTACGACTACATCGAGGTATGTTGACATCCTATTTGGATTACGGGATGTAGTGGACAATGTGTAATGCAGCAAAAAATAATGAGCTTTTTCTCTTATTTTTGATCCACTTCAGCCATCCTACATCTCCTTTCCCTCAAAATAAAATCCTTGAAAAAGATCTGAGGGCGTAGAGGAAAATACCCACTTCAAAAATCTGAATAAAAGTTCAAACTCTCTTATCTTACAGCAGTCGGATCCCACTTTCAAGGTGATGGAGAAGAAGTGGGCGAATCAAGTGCGCTTCGGCAAGCGAGCATCGTGGGCCAGCTCGGTTCGGTTCGGATAAATCATATTGCACACCTTTTTCTTCGGCGGTTCTTCACGGAAATCTCTCTCTCTCTCTCTTTATTTTTATCTCCATTTTTACCCTTTTCTGCGCACAACTCTATTTCAGACGACAATCAGCACACACTCATTTTAATCTTCGTGTTCTTCTTCTTCTTCACTTTAAAAAATTCCAAAAAAAAAATCTTCTTGCTTGCTCTCGTGTTCACTCTCGTCTTCTACCGTAACCCCTCTTTTGACTTCCCTCCCCTCCCCAACAAAGCACACAAACCGATACAGTTGATATGATTTTTCTCTCGTATTGTCAAGAGAATTCTAGTAATAAAGTTTGCGACTTGTTGATAAAAAACATGACAGATTTTATTGATGCATATAATAGAATTATGCCCTCAGTGGGTTACAAAAAAGGAAAGGAGCAAAATACACCGTTTAGTTGGGATCAAGGTGAAGTAAAAAAAAATGGTATACAATGCAAAATTTAATAAAAAAACAAACAGAAAAAGAAACGTTACATGAATCTCATCAGTTTCATTTCAAGGAGAAAAAAGACACAAAAAAACTACACGTTTTGTTTTAAAAGTAGTAACCTACTTCCATTTGGAAGTTACAGAGCTGCATAGACCATATAGAGGTTTTCGGGATAAAAAAACTGGGAATATTGAAAATTTTATGAGGAAAAAAAATTTATCATCGATCCACAAGACGCATGATTTGATCGAAACAGTCTTGGAACGCCATCACCAATTTTCCATCAACTGGTTTTGCTTTTGGATTGTGTGAAAACTTTATTTGACGATTGTAGGTCTCTAATTGAGATAGGAGTTCCCTAAAATTCGATTTTATAAGTTCCGAGTCTTTTTAAAAATGTTCCTTACTTGAAACGGAACTTGCTATGCGGTGAAATTTGCTCTGCGTAGACGGAGCACGTGCCATGGAGCTTTTGCACATTGTCTGCCATTCTGAAACAGTAATTTGTTAAAGAATTCCCATTCTCCAGTTTTCTAGCTTACATCACAAACTGCTGAAGTTTCTCATCAGTGAGCTCGGAGCTCGCCAGATTTGACAAATTCACAAAATCCTTTTGAATGACGCGGAGTAGAGATACAATGATATCCTGAAAAATACATTGTGATGTTTCCCACACCTTCTGACCAGATATAAAGATCAGGTGAGCTTTATGATGTTTAGAATTTTCTTTTATTTCTGAAACGGAAATTGTGTTTCAGCACAAAATTGACGTCACGTCAACCATTTGCAGTTCCAGAAACACTTAGCGGTGTTTTTTTTGTACGAAAATAAAAGAGCTAAAAAGATACTTCTCCGTTTAAAAGCTTTTAGCCCTGCCAAAATAGACTTTAAGAGCATCAACCTCATAAAATCGGGGTGTCTTTTTGCAAAAACAAACTAATGGCTTCGAGTTTCTAGTGGAATTTAATTGCCGTTGTGGAGGCGTTTGCGTTTCAAGCAAAAAAAGTTCCTTGCTTTTATTATATAGAAAAACATCTTTATACACCAGGGACCAACCTTGCTAACAGGCTCTTCCTCAATAGAGCCAGACTCTTCCAGATTCCGGTTCTTGCGTGACGGCACCACATGCTTCAGTTCACCATTTCCTTCCATCATTGAGAATCTCTTCGTGGATCCACCTTTCTTTTCAAGAGCATGTTCCCGATATGGAGCTTCTGAAATGACAAATTTTCTTCCTTTTGGCTCATCAACAATATTACGTGATGGTACGAAAAAAGGGGTCTCTAGAATCACGCGCAAATATGACGCCCGAATCGTATGTATCGGATTGCACGTGTCATAACGAAGGCGTTGGAAAAATGGAGAAGTGGGTTTCAGTTTACTCATTAGTAGGCTTTTGGCCGAGATTGCGAAAGTTCAGTCGCCCACGGATTGTGCGGGCGTACAAATTGAGGAGGAATAATTTAGAGAAGATTGGAATGAGCAATTTTTGCAGGGACTAGCCGTTTTGGAAAGGGTAGGAATAATTGGACAAGGACAGCCATGAAAAATTATTCATGGGTCATACAGTAGCGGCCAATAAGGTTTACAAAAACGCATTTTTTTCAGTTGATTTTCAGGAAATCTGACAATTTTCAGAACAATGCAGCTCCACTGTCAAGTTTCCAATCACGTTATAAATTTTGGAGGATGTAAAATAGACCTGGATTGAAAATTTTGCATTTACAGAATTTTTTGAAAATTCACATTTTCTTCAGCTATTTGCCAATTTCTGAGAGACATCCCATTTTTGCCCGTCTTGATACAAAAAATGGGAAAAAAACAGACCTATTTCAGAAATTGACGATCAGCTGAAAAACTAGGATATCTCGAAAAAATGTGTTAGTGCAAAATTTTCAATACGAATTTGTTTTACGCCCTCCAAACTTTTAAAAGTGGACGGAAATTTAACAGCCTGGCTTTATTCTAATGAATCTCGTCAAAATCCACTGAAAAGTTTGTATATTTTATTGACAGGTACTGTAAATCTGTGACATTGTTGCTAGAATCGATTCCATAAAATGCACATAAAAGTCTCTCAAAAATTTCAACTGGTTTGTAAAGTTATAGATATACCAGACTGCGATTGGCTGTCTACCGATGTCCTACAAAAGCGTTGTGAGATTTTATCACTCCAATTGGTTTCCCTTTCTTTAAAACAAGCTCAACTCCAATTTTACTCAAAACACCTCTGACCAACCTTCAATTTTACTCTCCACAGCCGACGATGGGGTCCCGAGCTGCTCAAATTTGGTGGTAATGTCCCGTAACGACTTCGTCCGTGACATCCTATTCGACTCTCTTTCTTTATCCCCTCCATTGATCATCCAAGTGACTGGCACCACTTTGGTCTCTCCATTACTTTTTCTAGCCAGTTCTGACTTCATTTTCTCCTCCTGTATCTCAGAAAGAGACGACGTTTCTGAACTATCCGCGTGCTCTGAATGAGATAGAGCCGAACTTGTAGAGTTATTTGGGCATTGAAGTGAGAAGGGACGATGATGTTGGAGTGGTGACACTTTTTGAGTTACCAACTGTCGAACTCGAGCTTTTTCGTTTGGTGGCAACGCAATTGCACTATCGTTAGTGGTATCTGTGGCATCTAACGGGGAGTCGTCGTGATTTTCCTCCTTTGGCACATGACGCAAGTTGCGGATTTTTGCTTTTAGTTCGCCTTCTACATTTTGGTAGGAGTCGGCCTTAAAGGAAATAATTTGGATGAAAGAGGAAAGAAACACTAGGGGAGACAGGATTAGCAGCCAACAACAAAACACCTACTTTTACGATTTCGATTTTCCGGGTCACCGCATGCTTGGGACCCCACATGCCATCTTTTGTTGTTTCGTCTGACGAATCTTCAGCTTTGGATTCAACTTTGACACTGACCGACGCGTTACGTGATGGGGGTACTGGTACAGGGACCGGACTGGCTCTCGAGTGCCTGTTGTTGAAATCTGATCCATTTTTAAGGGAATATTTGACAGATGACTTGTTGAGCGACCCAAATGGCGATGTTTTGTCCGATTTGTTGGTTTCTAAAATAGAACTTTCGAACATTTTTAAAATTTTGAAATGAAATAAAAAATTTACCATCAGCAGTATCCGAATCAATATGATCCAATTCTGGCGTCTCACCACGCTTTTTCAGTTTAGAACGAATTTGTCGTAAGAACACGTTTTCTCCAACTACCGGATGCATTTTTCCGTAGGTGCTAGAAGTCATGGAGTCTGGAAGTGGCAGTGTGTCCAGAGAATCGTTGGACACTGTACGACTCATAGAAGATGATCCGGCTCCCTCGTTATCAGCATCGGTGCTTTCTGAAACTAAGAAGAGATGCAAATTATAGTCAAATTCGTTGCTGGGAGTGATATAATTTTCATAAAATCCGTAAAACCAAAAACTTACCGATTGAATATTTGTAAAACTTCGTTTTTCTGGTTAGCAAAATCTTGTTTTTGAGTTTGGCGCTATTTTGAAAATGAAACTCTCCGAGATTTCAATAAAAAACTTTAAAAAAATATGTATACTTACAGTTTTATCACCAAACTGTTCGAAATTCCCGGAAAATGCCGTACTATTAGCGCCAAAAGTAGTTCGAAGGGAGCGAGAATTTTGTATTCCAAGGTTAGTAGGTCAAAATGCTTTTCAGTTTTTTTTCTTACCGATTTTTCAGTGTTTTTGTTCAACATTTAAAAATTTTTATGACAAAATTAGTAATCAGAACAACTGAATAATCCCTTTTATTCCCTGATCGCATTTTCAATGGCATTTCCCGGGCACTTTCGAAACTTCAACTAATAAACTGTCGAATTCATTATTTCCATAATATTGCATTACAAATCCGCAAATGTACATACTCAAAATCGCGGTAAACTCAGAAAAATAGGTTTTTTTAATTTCTGAAAACTGTAATTTTGCTAATTTTACGGATACAATTTTACGGAAGTCCGTGAAATTTTACAGATGTATGAGAATGCTGTAAAAAATCCCAGCCCTAGTCCCACTGAACACTCTTTCTCACCTTTCCAACTATCCACTCGTCTCATCGAGTCCAAATACGCATCTATCCTTTGCCCCTTCGGCATGGTTCCACCTAGGCGTGTGACCGCTTTCCTCACATTCTTCTCAGCCAACGGAACAATATCATCCTGTTCATTCCTATCAAACTCCTCCGATGCGTGACGAGCATTACTACTTAGAACTGACTTCAGAAGTTTCGGCTTAGCACTCTGTTGTGGAGGTGCTGGATATGGTACTTGGGAGCGGAACGATGTCACTTTGCTACCGCTGGATGGTTGATTGAAGAACATTCCACCGTCATCATTCCGCATGAAATTCTTATTAGCGAGCTCTGGGTTGGAATTACGGGAGTGGAGAGATTCTCGATCGCGATCTCTATCATGATGTGAAGAATGTCTCGTTTTTGAATCACTCCTTTCTCTAACATGCGACGATCTTCTTCGTTCTGACTCCAATTTCTTCTCACTGCTCTTTTTCAATTGTTTCTGGACGTCTTCTTCAAACGAATTCGTTGTGATTAGTGTCTCCAAGTTATAATGAATATCGCGGAAGCGTGGACGATCGGATGGTGACCAATTCCAGCATTGCAACATGAGCCTATACACCGACGGTGGACATCCTTGTGGTCCATCCATTCGGAACCCGTGTTCAAGTAGACTATAAACGTTTGACAATTCAACTCCCGGATATGGAGCCATTCCATAAGTGGCGATCTCCCAGAGTAGTACTCCAAACGCCCATACATCTGACTTTGAGCTGAACGTGTTGAATGCCAAGCCTTCTGGAGCTGTCCATTTGATAGGGAATTTTGCTCCGGCGTGTGCAGTATACGTGTCTTCTTTCATAAATCGAGCTAACCCGAAATCAGCAATCTTCACAATGTTGTGCTCAGACACAAGACAATTCCTAGCGGCTAAGTCCCGATGTATAAAATGCCTTGCTTCTAGGTATGACATTCCCGAGGCGATCTGACTGGCCATCTTGACCAGAATGATCGGTGGAAGAAGTGTTTTATCGGTTCTTCTGAATAAAATAACATTAAAATGTGACTGAGAGAAAACAAACGTACCTTAAGTACTCGAGCAAATTTCCATTGCACATAAATTCGGTGATGATGTAGAATGGAGCTTCATGGGTGCAAACGCCGAGGAGACGGACCAGATTTCTGGGAAAAAATTTGTTTCAAAATTATAAGTTTGTTAAAATTCGATATTACAAATTATTCGGATAATTAGAAGTTCCGAATATCAAATATTTTGAGCGTTCAAAATCCAAAAAAAAACTAGAAATCCTAAAAATTCCAAAACACGAAAATTCAAAAACTGCTAAATTTAGAGATGAAGAAATTCGCAAACTCTGAAATTTCAGAAAATTTAAAATTCGGAGATTCAGAAAATCAAAATCTTGAAATTTATAAATTCAAAAAATTCAGAATTTCAAAATATCCGAAAATTTTAGAATTTTCCGAAATTCCAGAAAATCCAGAAACTTAGACATTTCGAAAGTTAATATTTATAATGAGTTTGAGAATCATGAAAACTCAAAAATCATGAAAATTCAAAAATCCTGAAAATTCGAAACTTCCAGAAAATTCAAAATGTTCGAAAATCTGAAAACTTAAAAAAATTAAAAAAAAAAACCAAAAGTTCCTAGAATGCTAAAATTCTAAAATTCCAATTCCAGAAAATTTAGCTACTTAGAACTTCCACAATTCATAAATTCTAGAAAAGCGGGAAATTCAAAAATTCAAAAATTAAAAAAAATAGAAAATTTGAAAAAAAAATCCAGAAACTCGGAACTTCATAAGTTAAGAATTACTCATAATGACCCAAACGTAGTTTCAAGTCTTTTCTAACTATTTCTGTCATCCAAAAATTTCCCATCCTCACTTATGATGCAAATCCTTCATAATCGCCGCTTCTGCCAAAAACTCATGCAACGGCATCGCATCCTCTTTCAACGCCTTCACCGCAATTGTGCAATCATGTCGCTTCCAATAGCCCTCGTACACATCTCCATACTGTCCGCCACCCAATTTGTTATGCATGATGATTTCCGATCTATCCAGTTCCCATTCATCCGGCGCATTTGGTGACAACGAAAACAGTCCCCGTGTCTTGTCCTTCTTACTCGCCGGATACATCAAAGTACATATTAGTCCGTCGGCATGAACACTATGATGATGCACCAACTCGCCAAGTGTGCGGAATTTGACTTCCTGCGTGATGAACATCTGGAAACAAGAAGATGAGTGTATTTGCACAGAGGGTTGAGAGTATACAACAATTTGAAGAACATCACATGATCATAGCGATCAAGTACTTACCCTTTCCGTGTTATCCACGTTTATCCGATAATGAAACACCCGACCATCATGTCGAACCGAGATGGTATACTGTCCAATACTGGTTTCACTTTCTCGAACCAAAAACGATCCGGTGATCCCACTGCCGAGAACTGCTTCCGAATCACTTCTGGATATCTTCCCATGATACCACGTGTACTTATCCAGAGAGTTGTATGGAGCTATGAAATTGCTTGGAACCCATCCAATCTCTCCTAGACGTCGTTGACTGCTCGCGTCGTTTTTCCTTGTCGAATATAGCCGCGCTTCACACCACTCATTGTTTTTGTTGTATCCCAGAATTCGCACCTGCAAGAATGCACAAAAAATGATTGACCAGGTGACATGTGCAATTGACGAGGCGAGCAAAAAAGCTGCTAGTGACGGGAAGTTATGCCCTCCCAAGTTGATTTATTGATAAACGTCCGAAGAGGATGGGGGAGATGACTTCTTGTTTGATTTATGTCCAAAGTACTAACCTGATCACCCTTTCTCAATGAAAGCTGCTCTTCACCGACTCCATGGAAATCGTAGAGTGCCACGAAGAGCGGTGCCGATGAGGAAGACGATGAGGATACTGTATTCATGTCGTGTGTATTGTTCACCGAGTTCATCGAGCTACATGCTACCAAGTCTTCTCTGAAAATAAAATTCGTTTAGACTGAGTGGAAAAATGGGATGAAATGGGTGTTTTTTGTCACACTTGGAAGTCAAAATCATCAAAAATTCTTTTGAGGTCCACTCAGCCATAATAATAGCGGTTTTTGTAATGCAAACAAACATTTTCACTGGAAAAAATGACTTCACCAGAAACATTTAAATCAGGTAGAACTAAGGCAGGTTTAACTGACTATATTCACGGGCAAGCCGATCGAGGCGTAATAGGGATAAAAATGACAGTGCCCCGATTGGAAGATTGGGAATAAAAGGCAGAAAAGGCGGAGAGAGAGAGAGAGAGAGAGAGAGAGAGAGAGAGAGAGAGAGAGAGAGAGAGAGAGAGAGAGAGAGAGAGAGAGAGGAAAAGAGAGGCAAGTTCGAAAAAAAAACATAGGCGAAGAATTATAAGACCACACTTGATGAAAAATGACTTCAGACTGACAGTGACGGAGAGAAGGGACGGACATTCACGGCATTTCTTCAAAAGGAATATGGAGACATATAAAACTTTCGATTTTAAATAATAACGCTATATTCCTTAGAAGATGAAGAAAACGATGATCAGGAAAAAAAACGTTATTACAAAAAATTGGATATTTTTAGTGTTAAGTAAAGTCAGGAAGTATCAGAAATCATATTTTTGGCCCGTCCTGTGCGGATATTTTTTCCAAATATAGGTTCAGGCTAAGAGAATGGCAGCCATGATTGCAAAAAATTGTCTAATTTAGCAAATAAAAAATATTGGCTAAACTAATACAGATAGAACATCAAGTTTTGTAATAAAAGTTCAGAAGTACTGAAAAATTCAATTTTTCGTCTGAAAAATTGGATCATTACCTGTTCAAAGCATTTGGAGCTGCTAAAACAAATTTTCATGAACTTCCGTAGGAAAAAATAGCGTTAGAATTTTCTGGACAGAGTTGACCATCACCCCACATGGAGCAATTCTTATGTTTCCACCTACGTTATTGATTTTTCAGCTAATTTTGATCACTTTAACCATATCTAGGAGTCTGGAGCTCGGCTGTCAAGCTCCCGATCACTTTGAAAATTTTGGAGGGTTCAGAATAGACATAGATTGAGAAAGTTGCATTCACAGAATTTTTAAAAAAAATCCTAGTTTCTCAGCTATTTACATTTTCGAAAAGCAATTTTTTGGTCCGTTTTGTACTGAAAATGTGAAAAAAACAGGTGTCTTTTAGAAATTGGCGAATAGCTGAAAATTTTTTTTTAGAATCTTGCGTCAAATGTTTAGTTTGAGTCCATTTTTCTTGGTTGTCATGAGATATTTTCACATCAAAAATGACGCTAACTGACAAAAATTTGAAAATAAGACCGAAAATTTTGCGAGTCAAAATTTTTTCGATGTCGATTACAGAAATTGAAAAAAATGGATTAAACTCGACGGTTGAGGCACTTCTAATTCACATTCAACATTTTACAATCCTTAAACATAAGAAAAGAAGAAATTCAAACGTTTTCCATTCACACACACACAACACTTACAATGAGTCGATGGTAGCCGTGATAAAGCAGATGCTCTCTGCCAATTTGTGATGCAAATAGTGCATCGGTAATGCGACAGATGGTAGACTCCGTGACATTGCGGGTGATGAATCACCAACCCTAGACAGGTACATTGTGCTCCGAGACTTGGTTCGCGGTTTCGGCCGCTTTTTCGTCCGCTTTTGAGACCGTTCTCGGAAGCACGGATTCATAATCATCGTGGGCTTTTGCCAAGATGCGAATGGACCCTTCTTCTTCAAAATGCGCACCGATGATGATGGAAGAGCCAGAGTCAGAGAGAGGAAGAAGGAAGGAACCAGCGGATGTATTGTGTGAGAATGAGTGATGCGGGGATATATGAATGATGATCACTTCGGGAGGAGGGTGGCCCTTCCACTCGGCACCGGCTGTTCCAGTGGTCGTGAGGAGGGGTGCGACAGATAGATTAGCACTTGGCGCCGCTATCTGATTATGAGAAAGTTGGAAAATAGACGAGCAGCTTATTTGATTGGCATTTTTGCACCGAGATCACTCGGTAAGATCTTTTCAGAAAAATGAAAGAAAGCAATAAATGATTTAACTCGTTTCAACCCTGTAGAACAGCTGTGCCTTTAAACATTTAATCCACCAGATTTCTAACTAGAATAATACGAAAATTGATTCAATAAAAATGGAATCAAAGGAAGATTAGAAGTTCCAATTCAAATCTCGAAAATCGTCCCCGACCCCCCATCGACCACATTCCATTTTACGGTTGTATAGCTTTTATGGACATTTTATGAACTTTTGAGCGAACGCTAATTGTCGACGGCTTTTATCTCTATCTTTCTCCCTCTCACAAAACGTTGTCCTCATCATTCCGAGGTTCACTTAGCAAGGTCATTTCAATTATCGCCCCCTCAGATTTCCGAAAGTGTCCTCAACCACTTGCCGTTCACAAAATCCGCCAATAATTGCCGCACAAGAAGGAAACATAAAATATCAAGAGGGTTGAGTATACCCAAGTTTTTTTTGACAATTATGTTTACAACAAAAAAATGGCAAGAGGACTATAAACCTTCTACCAAAAGCAGTAAAATTGAGTATAGATCGTTGTAAAAACGGAGTGAAATATATTACTAAAAGTTAATAAGAATGATGATGTCGTAGTGTAAAGTGCGTAAACGTCAGGGGAAGCAAATTTACATGAATAGCGCTGAACTGAATTTGCATACATTTCAAAATAGGGAGAGTCAGAGATGAAAGGAAAGACAGTTGATGGTGCAGGACACACGCTATGCATTTGTAGGCTCATGTTACGTTTGAGGCATTTTTTTTACACTTCAATGCTTTTTGGAAGTTAATCAAACTCTAAAAAAAGAAAAGCTTGATAAAATTGTCAAGTTTGGATTTTTGACAGATTGTAATGCATCAGAAAAGGTACAAAAAATTCTCGAGATTCATAAAGATTCAGTCTACTTGGAATAAACTTGGGAAAAGTCAAAATTAAGCTAGACAAAGAACAAGCTATTTAGAAGAAAAAAATTACTGAAAATCATTTAAAAATAAAATATGGTAAACCCACCCAAGCTGTCAAATTTGAGCACAATAATCTCGGTTCTCATGAAAGATACCGAAAATTGGTCAACTGATAAATTATTTATCACATTATCACAAACATTTTGTTACTTGACAAATTTATGATATTTTATAAGAACCGAGATAATTGAGCTCAAAGTTTATGTATACGCTGAGCTTCTACTACAGCGTTCACGGTAGTTTTAATAGATTGAAGTTGGAAGAAAGTCAACGTTTTTGTATGAAAAAATCGTTAAAATCACTGAAAACTATTTCAAACATAGTATAGCATTTTAGTCAAAATTATGAAAAATGTAGACAGAACCACAAACTATCAAACTCGATGTGAAAACATGGAATCTCGATTTTTCCGTTTTTTTTCACGTGAGAATATAGATGAAGTGAATTTCAATAAATTTTTCAGAATTCTAATTCAGTCTAAGTTTCAAAACTAAAAACAAAACCAAATTAAAAACAGTCCCATCACATATCTTTTCTACAAATGCGGGGTTTCTGCACACAACCGCAGAAAAATAATCTCTCCGGAAACGGAAAACGACTGTATTTGCATATTTGGTGTTGGTGGTGGCCGCGCGAAAAACCGAAGAATTGACCGAGATGAGCTCAAAAGCACAGTGTGTATGTGAAATTAGGAGAGAACTAAATGAGAAACACCAAAAGACAATAGAGAGAAGAAGAAGAGACAGAAATGGAAAGCCGATCGGAAAAATGGGAAAGAGCTCTATCAAACATACCGGACAACGAGGAAATGAGTGAAAACGAACGAACATGGAAGACAAAACGAGCAAATGGGACGAGGAAGCCCTTAATATATTCGAAACGAGAAATGAGAGAAGGGGGTCCTTCTCATTGGGGAAAGAGCATTGAGAGCAGTAAGAGTCAAATGCAAAACGATTAGCTGTGAACTGAACTCGAATTAATTCTGTTCGCTTTGTCTTTCATGTGTCTTTGAAAATTTGAATCGCATTTTTTCAAAGAACTTATGCCCCAAAATCCAAGGAAATTTCTGATCCATACTTTTCAAAACCGAACACCACACTCCTCCAAACGAAAAATTTTCTTCCGAAAAACAAACATACCTGCTTTGGCTGGCACGGAAAGTCGAGCTGTCACTGTTCGGCGGTCGAAAAGTGTCAAACGTCGGACGGAACATCTAAAAACAGTGTTTTTTGTAAGATCCGGGGAAACAGAGTGATCGGTGAGAGAATCAAAAGTTTAGCAAAAAGTGATTCATCGAAAACCTTTGAAATTTCTTGTGGTTGTTTCGAAATTTCATTAATCCCAAGAACAAATGGAAATGGGCAGTCTTGAGTGAAAAATGTTCTTTCGAACAGACCCGGCCCGGGCATGGGCCGTGGCGGGCCGGGTCTTTAACTTACAAGCACGAAATTTAGCAATTTTTGAAGCGAGTCAATTTTTATCAATATTTTTTTTAATTTAAAGCTAAAAAAACTTACATCAACCACTGTCGGACTCTTGCTCCGTTCGATTTCTTCGGCTAGCCTGCTCGAGTTTTCCGTTTTCGGACTCGCCACCGGCCGATCAAAGACAGTATCTTCTGCAAAAAATATGATTTGTCTTCGGAACGTTTTAAGGTCACTCAACACAAAGCAGAAAGTTTAACAAAAATTTCAAAATGGTGAGTAATTTTTTTTTGCTAGTTATCAGTGGCGTCAAACGGCTGGCTAAAACGAAATGACAGAGGGAAAAAGGAGTAAGATAACACTTAACGACCGTAAAATATATGCTAGTGCGGTTAAAAATTGAAACAATTTGGATGGGAGGGTTGGTGGCACTAAAACCAGTGATAGTACAAGACAGGGGGAATAGGGAATAATTAGAATTCCAGAATTCAGGTGTTGGGGTTAACAGTGAAATTACTGAGAAAAGTATTTCCAAAAACATATAGTACCGTTCAATAAGATATACAAAAAAGGATTTTTCAATTTATTTTCGGTCATGTTGACAATTTTCAGGAGTCTGGAGCTCGGTTGTCAAGATACCAATAGACCTACATTAAACATTTTTTTTACTCACATAATTTTTTGAAAATTAACAGTTTTTCTGATATTCGTTGGTTCTTGACAAACTTCCTTTTCAGCCTGTTCTCGTACTGAAAATGTGAAAAACAAGTGTAATTCAGAAATCGGCAATTAGGTAAAAAACTACCAATTTTGAAAATTTTCTGTGAGTGCAAAATTTTCAAATATGTCTGTTTTACATCATTCAAAAATTTCAGAGAAATCGGGAACGTGACTACCAAATCCCAACCTTCTGAAAATGGTCAACATGGCAGAAAATCAACTGTACTGCATGTTTTTGATGGTTTGAGAAACTTTCACTTAGCAAAAAAAAAAAGTATTTAAAATTACAGAAAAAATCTTTAATCACAAAAAGCTGGAATATAACTCGAAAACTCACAAAAATAGAAACCGACCAAGAACAACGGCCAAAAATAATGTTTATAAGTTTCGAGCCACTTCTAAACTTCGGCTCAGCTTATAAGGCTGACTCTTACTAAAGAATGAAATATGGAGTATAAACAAAAAGAAAATATCTAAATAAGCGAAATCCCAGAACACCTGCTGGGATTCTCAAGCACAAAAATGAATCTAATTTTAGCAAATTTTTGCTGCTCTCGCTTTTTTGTAATAACTGGTAAATAGGACGAACACGTCGAGCTACAAGTGAGCACCTCGACGACCGGTATTATGGGTGGAAACAGAGAAAAAAGAAAAAGAGCAGCAGAGCCTCATATATAACTGTTAGGAGAGGGAGGAGAGAGAGGCTTCATATTGACAGTATGGGAGGAAGAAGAAAAGGCAAACGAAATAGCACGCACTAACGGTAAGCAGGCCAATTCGACATCAGCTTACCACACCCAAACGTTAACCTCCCGCTGCTTTTCATTTTTCTCTCGCCTTCCCCCCGCCACAGGTTATGCTCTCGCCCTCGCTTTTTACCTCTCTGGGCTCTTGTCAAAGAGTTCCTTTCTATCTAACTAACCTTCATCTTTCAATTTTCGCTGCCGAATTTTTTCCCTTCGCGCGAAGATCATCTCCCACTATTTTACGGTTTGTCTTTCTTTTTCAACTCAATGATCTTCAAACACACTTGGGTGAAACAGATAATAATGGAAGAAGAGGAAATGAGAGAGTAGTTAGAACATTCTTCTCTGATAAGAGAGAAACATATCAGCTGTTAAGCAGTCATTTTTCTTCTGGCCTCAGTTCTATTATAGTTAACTGGAGGGAAAAATTCAAGATTTATTCTTCGAAGAGCCAAGGAGTTCTGAAATCTGATTTTTTTAGTTAAAATTTCAAAGAAAATGATTTCAAAAAGAAAATGATTTCAAAAGGCAAAAACAGAAGGAAACTTTCACAAACAGCTTTTGGCTAAATCACATACAGTACCTGTCAATGAGACACGCAAAAACATATTTTTCAGCCGATTTTTGGCTATTTTGATCATTTTCAAAAGTCTGGAGCTCGGCTGTCGAGTTTCCAGCCACTTTGAAAATGCTGAAGGGTGTAAAACAGAGCTAGATTGAAAACTTTGCATTTTCAGAATTTTCTTCAAAGTTGCTAGTTTCTCAGCTTCTTGCTTATTTTTGTAAGAAACTCCTTTTCAGCCCGTGTTTGTACTGGAAACGTAAAAACCAGGTGTCTCATAGAAATTGGCAAATACCCTAAATTTTTAGATTTCTTTATAATTGTATGCTGGAAGAACCTCGACGGTGGATACGGAGGAACGATTGCCTTGCAAAAATGCCGATAAGTGTTAGACGGGTGCAAGTAAGAGCTCCACCGTCGAGCTCTTATTGGACGCATTGTAGAAAACATGATCGTTGTAATAGAAGGACCACACAATGTTAAGTTCGAGCTACTTTATTTTTGCTCCTGTGCAAGATATCAAAAATGTGTCAGATAATAAAATGCTTATAAGTTTATGATAAACAATTCATCAGTGGACAACTTTTGTATACCTTTGATATGAACCGAGATAAATTGGTTCAAAGTCAAACATGAGAACGGCTCTTCTATCACAGGTTTCACGGCGATTTCAGATTTTCTTCAAAGCAGACCATTCAAAATCTAATGTACAATTTTGATTTGCACGTTAATTTTATTTTCTATGGAATTCTTTTGAACAAACTTTGAAAAATGAATGATTTCAAGCTTAATAGTTCAGCTACGCAGCTATATTGAAAGAACTATTCTACCATTTTCACTTATTCCAAAGCAATCTAAAAACTATTTAAAAAATGAGCCAAACTAGTATTCTTTCACTGGGAAAAATGTCATGCAGAACAAAAGATTTTATGGTGGTCAGACACAGAAGTACAAGTGGCAAAAGTTGACCGGATGGAGAGGGGGCAAATGACGCATCGGATGGTGTCGTTGGGGGAAGAGAAAAGAAGATGTTGTGCGTATTGCGAAACAAGACAAGTTGTACGCGACGGGTGGTCCACTAAGAATGAATAGCATGACAAAATACGGGTCCACCAGGAAAGGCCAGAGCAAGAATTGAGAAGCAAAATGGGAGAGAGCAAAAGAATTGGTGAGAAAAGGCTTCGTGTTCGAGCATTCTTGAAGAGTTTCTGGCCGAAAATGTCTTTCTTATGGAACAGGTGCCACCGGGGAATAACAACTGGGGGAAATAAAGATGGATTAATATTGTAGTTTCTTTTGAAATTATGAAATCTTGAAATTTTCTAACAAAACATTTCAAGAAAGAATCTAAAGAAACTGTACTAAAATCGTCTCAACTTCGCTAAAAAGCTGTCTGACTTCTTCTTCCATTAGTACCAATTCGGTCAAAATCTAATTGTAAACCCCCACCAAGCCTATCGAATTACACATTTCGTGAAGCCAACAGAATAAAAGCATCCCGAGTTCCTCAACTTGCTCTACTAGACTATGATAGTAGTAAAAAGAAAAGACAACAACAATACTTTGACATAAATCTAGGGGGAAAAAAAGAAGCGACAAAGAATAGACAAAACAAAAAAAGGGAAAAAAGGAATTGAAGAGAGAGTCAGCATTACTTGACCCAAGTACTTTCCATAAGTAGCTTATTATACAGCTACGAGTATGCAAAAAAGAAAGGAAGAAAAGGGAAATGGGGAAGGTATGTGATGTGTGACAACTGGATCGGCTGCAAATGGCAGAAATGTCACATTCAGGTGATGTTCGAAGGGTTCAGAGTGTCTATTTCAAAAGTACATCGTCAGATACTTTGAAACTGTTATGTTTTATTGAATTTAAAGTCGTTATCTCAGGTTTATACAAATTAGGGAAACTGGGAAATTTTGAATTTTTTAAATTCCTTAATTCTTCAATGAAAATGGGTGTCTTTCTGAAATCGGAAAATAGCTGAAAACGAGGAATTTCATTTCCAAAAAATTCTGTGATTGCAAAATTTCCAATCTAGCTTTGCTTCACACCCTTCAAAAGTTTCAAAATGATAGGAAACTTGACATCCGAGATCCAGACTATTGGAAATGGTCAAAATTCCCAAAATTCAACTGAAAATTACGTTTTTGTATACATTATCAACCGGGACTGTATAAAAACTGTTCCAGGTTTTTGAAGCATTTGAAATCTAAAATTATATATTTCCCTAATGCATTTCTCTCAAAATCCCCCAGAAAAAACTTGAAGACCTACTTTTACGTTCAAAAAAATTCCAAAACACATTTCTACCCATATTCGTTTACTTTTCTCAAAAAATCATTTTTCTTCTGCCTTTTGGAAATTCCCCAGAGCCAAAAATAAATTTACGAACGCTTTCCATTTCTTATACCCTATCCCTTCGTCTCACCAAATCCATCATAAAAATTGGACCAGACGAAGAAGAAGAACGAGTGTCCTGTGTCCACTCCCAGAACCAATGGTCCACACACACATCAAAAGAAAAAGGGAAAGAAGTGTGCCAGAGAGCACATTTTATAATTGGAAAGAATGTCGGAGAGGGCCGTCCCCCGTTTTGCAGAAGCCGGTCCAGCACCAGCTGCTTTCAATGACCCCATTTGTCCAAGAATGGATCGAAATCTAGTTTTATTGGAAGTCAATGGATAGAAAAGAATATGAGGGTCGAGCATTTATAACAGCGAAATATGGCATTGAAACTTATTGAATTGGAATAACAAGTTGGATAGGTTTTTGTGGATGCGAAAAGGCGGGAAAACGGCGGTGGGGTGAGAAGGAGAAGTGGAAAAAGAAGAAGAGGAACATCAAAACTGGATTCCTTTTTATCTTTTTCTAACTATATGATGGATGCGAGCGAGGCTAAACATTTTAGAAAAAGAAATTTTTAAAAAATGTGAAATTCCAAAAAATAAACACTGATTTAATTATTCTAGATGGACGGAACCGATATCTGCCATATTTGGATCTCTCAGTGTCCTCTTCAGTACCGGGACCGGGAATAGATAGACGGACGAGATGTGACCTCTTGTGTCTGCGTTGCTGCCACTTCTCATGCTCTCTAGGCAAATCCATCCTCATACCAGCTATTACTATGTCTTCTCTCCCACCCAAGTCTCTTGTGTTTTGCGACATTAAACGAGGCTCTCTCTCCTTCACCCTCTGTTACTCGTTCGGGTTCCGACGTGAATCTACAATGAACGGACGAACGAGAGGATGGCGAACAGTGGAGAGGATCAGAGAAACTAACCGCATAAAGCATTAGGATGGTTTTCTGTCATCCATACTACCCAGACCCTATTGTGAACCCTCCATCTCTTCTTCTTTTGATCCATCACATTTGAATGTGTCATGACAATTGATCAAAAAATAGTGTAGATGGTCAAGGAGGTTATAAGAATGAAATACTGTGTCTAATGGTTTTATGGATTCTCCATATCAGTTTTCTAAAAAGTATTTAAAAAAACTCGAAAATAAGTTATGAAATGTTCGAAAAATCCAAATTCATCGGAATCCAGAAAATTCAAATGTCCAATTTCCTTAAAACGTGAAAAACTGGATAATTCTGTGAAAGTTAGAATCATGGATAATTTTTCAAAAGTATTAAAGCTAATTTTCCAAAAAAGGGACTGTACATTGGTCCAAAAGGTTTTATTCTAGCCAATCTCTAGTCAGTTTAATTTGGCATTTTCATATATATTGAAATTTTTTAAATTAGATAAAAATCCAAATTCATCAAAATCCAGGAAACCAGAGTTTCCATTTGCTAAAAACCGGGAAAACTAAAGCAATTTGGAATATCGAAATTTCAGAAAAACCACAATTTCTTGAATTAAAAGGTTTCATTTCAATTCATTGCTAGACAGTCAAATGTCCAATGTTCATATTTCAAGAGGCTTGAAAGTTTGAAACATTCAGTCTAGAACCTAAACTCATCAAGTTCATCAAAATCAAGAAAATTGTTTTTCTAATTTGCTAAAAACCGGGAAAACTGAAGAAATTTCCGAAACATTGATATTTTTTAAATTTTTAAATTTCGAGAAAAAAATGTTTTCAACTTTGAAAGTTTTTCACAACTTTAAATTTTTCTTCCCAACTTTTTTCGCTCTGTGCTTATTGGAAGTTTGAAAAAAATGCTCACCACAAACAAACAAGTCATTATCGTTGATTTCTTTCCCAGAGCTTTGTGAGTGACCCCTGAAATAAATTAAAATTTTAAAAATATTTTGAATTTTAGATTTTTGACAATTATCACTTTTCAATTATTGAAAAACTCACATTTCTGGTGAAGAGCTACATGGGAGACAAAGTTCGAGACGATTCCTTCGTAACCTGTAAATCGAAAAGGAATAAAATATTTTAGGCCAGAATGAAAAAAGCGCAAAAAAAAGCGACGCGTGAAATGACGAAAACAAGCGAGGAAATAGCGAGAAATAGGGGGTGTGAAGGTATTTGTGTGTTGTTGAGTGCCCTCTCTTCTTCCCTCATAACCCGGTCAGTGTCCAGCGGGGCGCGATTGCTTTTGTTTTCACTCATTGTCGTAACACCACCAACACTCGACGGCCCCAGTCTTATTCAAACAACTAAACCCCCGAAAGTTGTTGCGGACGATAAGAGTGTGGACTGATTGCCAGGTAACTGTCAGGAGGGAGAGTGAGGTTTTGTTTATTTGCCCGCGGAAAGCCCCCACTAGCCATAACAAAAAATATAACAATAGATTAAGGAACAGTAATTACCAAGTCAAGATAAGCAGCCTGAAATCGAAGACATCAAAAAAGGAAAAACTTCGAAAAAAGAACACGAACGTAAAACCAATCTAAACTTGTTGTGTTGAGGCATTGTTCCTTTTTTGGGCAGAAAGATGTTTTATACAAATCTGCGATACGAAATTCGTATCGGTTGAAAGTGTGAAACAAGAAGGTTAAAAAGTAGTGTGAAATGAAACAAAAAAGTGAGAAGAGTGATCACAATGCGTTGGGGTGAGCGAGGGAGTGCTCATAAAATTGAAAAAAAAATTGGATTGGGGCTATGGGAACGTGTGGGGGAGTTTCGGGAACATTTCGAGCATAATAAACTGAGAATAGATTGTAAAAATTATGTGAAATCTACATTTAAAAATTTTTCAAGCAAATAAGGACCATAAAAAGTCTCCGACTCACATAGGACTGACAATAGAGACTAAGATAAATAAACTTTCACATTTCGAAAACTTTCAAGTAGCCGAACTGAGATATTTTCAAGAGATATGGGCACTTTGGCAGGAATAATCAGAAGATAAAGATTATTCTTGTCCGGCACTGATGTTTTACAGCCGAAGATTTATTCAAAGGCGCATTGTCGGAACAGCAGCGGGATCGTCTTTTTGTGCCGTTAAAAATTTTAGATGTCTCGAAAATGATTATTTTCCGCATATGTTTTGATCTCTTGACTGTTCATCTTTGCCGGATAGAAATAAAAACAATATTCAAAAAATGAATCATGTTAATTTATTTTTCTGAAAAAAAACAGAACATTTTTCGAAATTAGGTATTATATTAGTCTCAAAGTTTGGTGTCTCTTATCAATTTCGCTATTTTCGAAAATTTATTGAGTACAGTAACCATGACCTTTGATTTTCAATAATTTGTCTATCTTAAGTCACATGATCCAAAAAATCAAATTTATCCAAAATTATGGCGTAGTAATAAAAGTTTCGAAATTCATATGAATGTGTCAGTTGGTGGAAAACTCTTTGTTCTCTTTTCAACAACCCTCAAAAACATTTTTTTAGACACGAGGATTGTGGAAAATTGTTTCGTTCACTGCCAAATGTACATTCTACGAGTTTTCATCTTAATTTCCAGATGAAAAACACTCAGAAGTAGCAAAATAAGAAGAGTTGAGAGTTAAATTGTCGAGACGTCGAGGGCCCGTCTCGAAAACACCATGGGGTTTATGTGAGTCATGAAAATTTGTGTGTGAAAAGAGGCAACGAAACGAAAAAAAATTCCATAGTAAAACACAAAATAGAAACAAGAGAGGAACAGAAAAGAAAAAATGGAAAATAGTTTGAAGGGAAAAAAAGTTGATGGTAGTTTGAAAGAGGATAATATCCCGACCAGCAGAGGAATAAAGACGAAAAAGAGATGGATGAAGGAGAAGAGGAACACAACAAGAATTGTGGAATTGTTCGTTTCTTCCTTGTTCGCCCAAGATGAAGCGGCTATAGCAAAAAAAAAAGGCAACAAGTCATGCATTTCCCAAATTCAATAACCTCTGATGAAGTGTCCACACATGTGTGTAAAAAATATTTATCAAATATTTATTTTCATTTTCAATAGTTGGAAAATTGACTCGTTTCAGGTTGTATTTCTTAAAATTCAAAACAGAAAGATCAGGTTCAGCTCATTACAGTAATCAACTTCTGAAACTGCTCCTGCACTTTCTCCACTTTCTCAAAATCATCACCACTCGAAATTCCACTGCTCGTTTCTGATACGGAGCTGTCATTTCTCCGCAAAGAAGCTGCTTCATTCTGCGCCTTGAAGACTTCCTTCATCTTATTCCTCTCTTCCTGTCTGTAATGTACTGCTTCCGGTTTTTATCTATTTCTGGCAAAGAACTCACTTATACCACAAATTTCCGCCATGCTCACATGGAGAGATTCCGGCGGCGCGGGCAATGGCGTGTTGAATTCGGGCAGCGAACATCGAGTTGTTCTCGGACTCCTTTCTCGTTTCCATAGCTGAAAATGAAACAATTTAGAGTAGATCATATCTGGAAAGATATATTTGGAATCGAAATTACAAAGAGATGCTCGAAAATCGTATGCCTTCACACATTTGTGACCCGATTAGTTTTGCTCCGTGCGAAACATATTAGGTTGGCGGGAAAGTCTTTGTCACTCTGTTTGTTTAATCACTGTTCTCGTATATGGAGGCTGTGTATGATATCGACTCTAGTGAATAACAAGGTGATAAGAACCTTCCATATAAACAAGTCCCCATTTCCTTCCCTGCTCCTCATCTGTAATTGAAACGATATGTTTGTTCCCACTGCTATTCACATCAGACATGTTTTGATTTACCTCTTCCTATCTCACACCACGATGAAGGATTCGGAAACTTTCTTGAAGAATGTGTACAACACACATGCCCCTCACTACAATACTATTCGCAATTGGTTCCATCGTTTCAAAAAGATGACTTCTCGCTCGATGAAAAGGATCGCTCTGGGAGACCCCGTGAGTTGGATTTGGACAAGCTGAAGCACGCATTGCAATCGGATCCATTTCAATCTAGCCGTGAACTAGCTGTCACATTCGGAGTTCACCATAGCACAGTCCTTGAAGGTTTGAAGTCTCTTGGAATGAGAAAACTTTTTGGAAGAATACATACCTCATCACCTGACTCAAGCCAACCTTGACCGCCGAGTCGACGATTCGATTACTCTTCTCACTCTCCACGCGGGCGATCGATGGCTGGACCGGCTAATAACCGGAGATGAGAAGTGGGTCTTCTACGATAATCACCACAGGAAATCCCAGTGGGTTGGAGAAGGAGAGAGCCCACAGGATGTCCCCAAACCCGACCTTCATCCGAAAAAAGTTATGCTCTCTGTGTGGTGGGGAGTGGACGGCCCCATCTACTGGGAACTTCTGCCCGAGGGCAAAACAATAACTGGAGACCTCTACACTACTCAACTACGAAACCTCAAGAAAGCAGTCGACCGTTCGGCCCTGAAAGACAAGAAAGTGTACTATCAACATGATAACGCTCGCCCACATGTTTCGAAACAAGTGAAGCAGGAGCTGATGGGATATGGATGGAATGTTCTCCCTCACCCCCCGTATTCTCCTGATCTTGCTCCTTCCGACTATTGGTTATTTGGCGATATGACACGTGCCTTCGAAGGAAGAAGCTTCAATTCCCGTGGAGCGGTCGAAGCGGCACTCAACAATACTTTGCCTCACGCCCGGCTGGATTCTACCGCAATGGAATCCATAAATTGAGGGAACGTTGGAGACATGTTGTTGATAATGATGGACAATATAATTAATTATTCGGTTATTTTTTCTTTGAGAAATAAACTATTGAAAAAGTGACAAAGACTTTCCCGCCAACCTAATATTTGACAGTAATGAACATGGAGTTCATTTTTGATATAATAATAATAACTTTGTTAATTCCACTTTTTGAAGTTTTTTTGGGACCCAAAAAAATAGGTGAAAATTACTACCGATTTCATACTAATAGAAGCCCAGTGGGTTTAGCGCTTTGCCTAATATCTCGTATGTTCACTTTGAACTCAATTACCTCGGTTCTTATGAGAGATGGTAAGAATCTGTCCACTGATAAAATTATGGTGATATAGTGGTCAATAATTCATAAGTTGACATAATTTTGATATCTCTCATAGGAACCGAGATATTTGAGCTCAATGTAAACGTTTAGAGCGCCCTGTCAAAAAAATACGGTATGTGTGGGGTATCACAGGTTTTACGGTTGGGATAACTAAGAGATATTTTTTTAGAAACAAAATAAAAAACTGTTAATTTTAGAATATTGTGAATTTGAGCTCGGAAAAAAATTTGATATTTCCGATTTGCTCCGAGTTTTCTTTTATTTTGATTGATTTCCTCATTTTCTATTTTTTGTATTTCAAATAGTTCAAAATAACTCACGAAGATACTGTATATCATAAACCACTGCCCAATTGAGCATGGTCCTGACCAAATACTGGAAGAATTCATCCTCATACCAAAATCCATCGCCAAACTCTGGGGATTGTCTAAAAATGCACATTTCAAATCATTTCTCAAATCCTATCCACTACTCACTTAATGGCCACCGGATAGATATTCACATTCTCCTCGAAAATCGCTTTTCTGAACTGCAACACCTTGCTGTTGTTTGAGCAGTATCCTTCTGGGAATAGAAGCACCGGACCCTCACGCTTTGCAGTTTTCAAAACTTCTGCCAGGAATCCTTGCCGATCATTACTACACTTTCTCTCCAACCAAAGAGATGGACAAAGCTTCTCGACTAAGTGCTCGATGACTCCTGAATAAACAAAAAATTGAATTTGAAATTTTGAGAGAAACATCTGGTACCAATAATTCCTTTGTGCTTTTGACCAGTCACCACATATCCGTACGAGCTTCCGTGTGGGGTTCCAGCAAACAGGATTTGAATGTCGTTAGGGGTTAAATGATTCGAAACTGCTACTCCTGGCTTCTTGGGCCTGAATTGGGGATAACGGTAGTTGGCAACAAGTCCCATGCTGCTGGAGAACAGGCGACAGTAAACAATAGCGACCCAGGTTTTTTCATGGTCCGAGAGAGTCTGAAAATGATTTTAAATTTAAAAAAAAAGGTTTTGGAGAAAAAACTCACTCTGAAAGCAGTCTGAAGTCCGGCAAGTGCCACGAAAATAAATGAAGTGAGCAGTAGACCAATTCTCACTGGCATCAGGAAAAATGCTCTGAAAATTGAAAGACTGATATTGTGAATGATAACTTTCAGGTTTTGATTATCTGTCAGAAGATAAATTGTACCGAGCAACAGACTTGAACATTTTAAAAATTGGCAATTTTAAAATCTTTGAGAAGTCTTGAATTTTTCCATTGTTTAGAAATGTTTATATTATACTCAACATACAAAGAGCGATTTATTTTTGAAATTGAAAATTGTTCTCAAAATTCTATACTGATGTGATATTTTTTTAGACGAAATAGTGCTGAAATTACAATAATTAGCAGTGAAATGGAATTGATTCCACTTCCAAACTGTTTATCTCGCTTTGTTGAAATTTCCCATACAAGTTGTCAACTACAAAGTTGAAGCTCTCATTTTGTTTAGTATGTTCCGAAACTTTCAGACAAATTGAAAAAATTCAAACTACTTTTTTGAGACTTCAAAGTTTAGTACCTCCCACGAAAACCTTTAAAATACCGCATAAACGTGTGATAGCTACCCATACTGTAAAGCTTGAACTCATTTATCTGAATTCCTATGGAAAACAACTGACAAAATATTTTTGATATTTTCATAAACTTTTTACCAGTCGACAACGTTTCCCTATCTTTGACAGGAACCGAGAAAAATTGGCTCTAACAAGGGAACCATGTTTAACAAGGGAACCATGTTTTTTCTAAATTTGCTCATTTATATATTCAAATACGGGCTTTCTTGTGGTGTATTTGGTTTTCTGCACAATTTTCTAGAAATTGATTTATGGGTTGTTTAAGTTATTTCAGTACTAATTTCTCATTATTGGAGTGAGTTTTTGAAAGATTTAATGAGCGTTTTTCGGCACTTTTTGAGTGTGAATCGTAATTTTAAAAGTTTCTCTACAATCTGACAAAGTTTCCTATTTTTCAAAAAAAAATTTTTTTTTGAAAAAATTTTGCCCTTTTGCGAAAATTTCAATTTTTCGAAAAAATTTTAAATGTGCTAAAATGAATTCTAAACGCATGAAAATAATAAAATCAGTCTTTTTACAAGATTCTGTAGACTATATCCGTTTTGAAATCCCAAATAAATGATTTCTTCCGAAACTTCCATGAATCATAGTCCTTCGAAATTCACCCAATAGCATACTGTAACGGGCCGGGCCCGGGCTTTGGCGGGCCGGCCCGGAATTTTACAAGTATGCCCAATAGAATTCAAATCTTGTGAAAACATAGATTTACATACTTCTTGACAGATTTATCACAGTTCCGCAACCAATATGATCAAATCGGAGGATTTCAACTGACATTTTGAGTAGATAAGGCTTTTCAGTAGAGCTTCAAGAATTTTTCAGAAATTATCATTTTTTCAGAAATTAGCTTTTCCCAACTCAAATAATAGAGCAAACATAATTTTGATTTTCGAAAAATGCAAAACATTCCTCCAACATCAAAGAAAAAAAAAAGAAAAAAGAAAATGGACAAAAACAGAGTCGAACTCCAAACTTTTGATTACTATTCATCCACACTATCCACTCGGCCACTGTTGCTTTTTTCTTCCAAAATGGAAAATTTCTAGAAGAAAGGGGGGAAAGTGGAAGGGAAGGAGGAGACCAAAAAAACATCATATTTTCAGATGGACTTTTCTCGGCTTCTAGAAATTTGTGCAGAAAACCGAATACATCACGAGAAAGCCCGTATTCGAAACTATAATGAGCAAATTTAGAAAAAATTCTGAGATGAAGGCTAAACATGGTTCCCTTGTAAGTGAAAAATTAGGAATCCTTTTATCACAGGTTTTACGGTATGATACATTTTCGTCCTGTGTTCATGGTATCATTTTAAAACATTTTTTTGAAATTGACTGCTTACCTGAAGAAAAGGCCAACAAAGAAAATGCTCTTTTGAGCACCGGTCCAATTTTTCTCTGGCATCATTCCTAATAATGTTGGTCGTATTGTGTGTGCAGTGTTGAAACATGGAGCCAAATCGGACTGAAAATTTTAATATATGTATTTTTGAATCCCTTTATATTTTCACTGACCTCAATAAGTTTTTTAACCTGCTCCTCGGCGATTTCATCTGCACTTTTGTCTTCCTGAAAGTTGAAAAATAGTGTCAGTTGCTGTGCTCTCATCGAAAGTTCACCACTCACCTTCTGCTCATTGCTATTTTCATCTCTTTTCACTTTGATTTTATGTCTCTCACTCGGAAAGTGTCCCTGAATCAACGACACCACGTGAAGATACCAGTGTGGTAGTATTCCCCAACTGATAAATAATTTAATTAGGAGAAAAAAGATACGGTACCAACCTCAGACCAAAGAAAATCAAAAATACTGTTGAGAAGTAGGCCAGTGTGATAACACTGCCGTAGAGATAAAATATTGTGGATAACATTTCTGAAATGATTTTTGTTATAAAATCAATATTAAGAAACGAATCAGAACCAAGAAGAATTCCTATGTCAAGAGGGACAGGGACAGAAAAAAGGCTCACAGAAAAATGGTTTGTTTAACCAGACACACGAAAAGAGGGAGAATTGAAAACGATGACTGGACTATTGACCCAATTTAACACACGCCTAGGACACATTTTTATGAAAAATCAAAGGCTTTTTGGTCCTTGAAATCTTCTCAGAAAGAGATTTCTGATAAAGATAAGATAGACCAAAGATGTCTAATGGGCGGGAAAAGGGAATAAAAATATTACAAGACTCTCTTTCTGATGTCAAATATCATTTGACAATTGGTCTATCATTGATGATTGATAACCCGAGGGTCTACTATTTTCAATCACTAAATGGCCAATTCAAAAACAACAGAATGACCAGAAGAATAATCGTGATAGGTTGTGTCTAGGGAGGCGAGAAGGAGGAGGACCGTGTGTGTTGACCCGGGTAGATTGGTCCGCATGTACCCGGTACCAACCTGCTCTTCTCATTACACCCCGAAAAATGAGAGAGAGGGGTCATCAAGGTCTCTTTTCTTTCCGAGAGGAAAAATATAAAAAAGAGGAGAACAAGGTGGTGACTCCACTGGAGAGAAAGAAAGACGAGACGAACGTTGGCAACGTTCTGGACAACAAAGAATGACTAAAAAAGAGGCATGTTTCTATTTCGGAGCGAAAGAGGAGGATGGGAATTGAATTAGAAAGGGAAAAGTTGGATTTTCTTCTTAATCAAGATTTGGAGGAATATAATTGAGAATCAAATAGGTAAATGAGATAGTCTGAGTCAAATTTTGATTGAAGAAAAATTTGGAATTTTCAGATACATTGGAAATTTTTAAAAAACAAAATGTGAATGACCAAAAGTCGAACATAATGCATAGATCACAAAGTGATACTGAACAAAATTTTCTTGAGAATTCACTAGAATTTTCTTTTTTATACGAATAGAATTCAGAGGATAATTCGTTATTTACAAACACCCAAAGTACCGGATTTCGTCATTATCTACCGAAACAATCTGACCTATAGACGAATCCATAATGAATCACGAGGCCAGAGAATTGACCTTAAATGATGTCAATGACTTGATTTTCAGAAGAATATTTCAAAATAGAGAGACACGTGCTCTTAATGCGGGTACAAAGTTTGTGGGGAAAATTTTCGAATTTTAATTTCAAAATTCTAAAGCTTAACTGATATTTCAAAATTCCATTCATTTGTTCATATTCCAAAATGAATTAGACAGAAAATGAGATTGAACTTCGCACGTATAAAAATAAAATATAAAAATTTCAAATTTCTTCCAACAAAAAAGGAAAAGCCGGCGATCATAAAAATCCATGAAAAAGAATGTTAACACATTTTGTTATCACGAAATTCGAAATATACACACAAACTATCAAAATTTTATTTGGGTCAAAGTTTCTCGTGTACAACACATACAGTTAGTACTGATTAAGCAGGTGGAGAACTTTTGATAACCGCGGGGTAGACACGTGAAGAATAGTTAGAGGGGAATCAAAAGTCAAGATGTTTTCTTTTAGAGCTTGAGAAAAGGGGAAGTACAAACAAGCATTTGGTTTTTTGATGGGAGATCAGGTACAATGACTCATTAGGAAGTTCAATAGGGGACAAAAATGATATAGGAACTATTTTGGGATTTCGGACAAGGCATAATTTGAAAAACAGATTGAATAAATCAATTTTGAGCTGCAAAATATATTTATAATTGGAAAAAAATGATTCACTTTTTAAAAAATCAAATGGTCTATGTTTATTGAACTATGAAAAATCAAAAAAAGAAATGAGAAAATTCAGAAAAAAATACAAAGAGGTATCAGGTGTTTTTTAAGTGTTGATTTTTTAGTTGTTTTCTATTTTGTTTTCAAAATAGAATTGTTGTTCGCTGGCGATTAAAAACTCTAAAACGCACGTGAATTTCCATAGACTAGTTTAGCTAAATACGTGGACATAACAGATTATGTGTGTTTTTGAAATGTTGTTAATAGATATTAGAACTGTATTTGTGTTTTTCTAAGAAAACGGAAACTCAGTTAACGCTTCTTAGGGAATCTACTTGAAAATTATTGATTAAAATCAATTGCTGAAAATTGGCAAATTATGAAACCTTAAAAAATTGAAAAATTACAACCTCATTTTTCCTCCAAAAAGAGAAATGTGAAATTAAATTATTCTGTTTGTAAAAAAACGTTAATTCGGGTTTTTTCGTTCAATTCCAAACAAAAGCACAAGCAATTTTTCGAAAAAAAATAGGGAAGTTGATTTGAAATAACCAATAGAAAAACGTTACGATGCAAAATATGAATAATTGAAACAACTATTGAAAAAATTACGGCATTTTTTCAGCTACAAAGTAATGAATTAAAATTTTAGAACTGTGGCACATGCTAATACAGCGGAACCGTAACACACAAATTCATCACTGTAAACAGACTCAAGTACAAATGAACAACATCTTTAACTTTTCTTATCAAGTCGAAGTAGAGAATTTTCAAAATACTCATCAAAATATGTATTTCCATTGAAAGATACAAGCAAACGACTGTATGTATCGGTATAAATTCTAAACAAACCAACGGAAGAAACATGGTCAACCAGTTTAGTTGAACAAGGTAATCTGGCGATACTTCGAATCAGTCTTCTTTAGGCGCAAGACAAAGAATAATTAATCAAGACGAAGGAGATTGGAATCTCTGATATCTCCCCACCTTCACTTTATGACTGCAGCAATAAAAACGCAAAGTGATTAACTAGTAGGCTTAAGATTAGATATCAGCATACCTACACATTTTAAATCAAGAATCGTAAAAAACTAATTTCGGTGAATGTAGTAAAAAGTGTGTCAAACATGTCAAGATATTGGTGGGCAAATTGATTGTGCCGGGAAGTAGAGGTCACGGAGTTTCTAGGAAACAAGTTACAAGTTTTCGATAAGTTTTGATTGCAAAGTCTTGGTTACACTTGAGTTCTGGAGCGTATTTGTCAAGAAGATCAGTTTTGACACAAAATTATTCTGTCAAAATAAAGACGAAATATTTTTTTAACCTCTTGGAGTTGACATTAGGGACTTTACTATCACAGGTTTTAAGGTATTTAATCAATTCTAAAAATTTTTGATGGTCCCGGAACACAGGTTTGTGAAAATCATTTAGAATAATTTTGTCGTAGACACCGTAAAGGTTGTAATAAAAGGCTCCTAACTCTTAACTTCGAGCAAATTTGTCTCGGTTCCTGTAGAAGATATAAAAAAGTAGTCAACTTATTAATTGTTCATCATACTATTACAAAAACTTATTAGCTGACACATTTTTGATATCTTACTTAAGAATTGAGTTAATTGAGCTTACACTTGACAGTGTGGCTACCCTTCTATGTATAACAAATGTTATTGTAAATGTATTAGTTTTATTTTGACTTACAAATATTAAAGGGGGACTCCGACCAACATAGGATTTTGCATTACATGCCGATTGTACCGACTACCAACTTCAGCTCCGAATACGTGAGAAGGCCACCCTTATCAGCATGGACACCTATGATAAATAGAAAAAGCTTACGCTAGCAACTTTTTTTTCGCTTGACAATATGTTCGATGAAGGTTGAAAAAAAAGTTCAAACCGGTTTCAGGAAAATTGGGTATTCAGAAGCAATAGAATATTAGAGTTGATTGAATTATCTTCCTGAGAGTTAAAACTTTGGCAATCATAGCCAACCTTGACTGATTATACTTCAACTTCCATCATATCAACTATAACTACACTGATAAAAAACTTTACAGCTGTGAAAGAGTTAGCCGTGGTCGAAGGTTCTATGATGAAAACTACAGTAACCAACAACATTTTTTGGTTTCAGGATTTAATTTCTCGTTTTTAACCCATTTTTATCGAATTTTCTGTTTTTTACGAAAA